CACTGTTTTCCTCGCGCTAGAATCGGCTGAAGGAAAATCGAGCGAGCGAAGATTTAAGGTACATTTTGTGTGTTTTTTATAGAAGAGAACTCTATTTGAAATGTAAATTTATCAATTAGCGTTGTGTTATTGACTTTTTGATCAAGCTGATGCTAAATTCAAGCAAATATTTTAGGAAACACGCTCAAATTCTAGACAGCTTTGTTGTGAAGTTTTCATCGCATCGATTAAAAATTTTAGTTGAGTTTAAACGGGCACATTACGCTGGAATAAGCGAATTTCATTTGAGTACAGAAACATTTGGGTTTTCAAATAAATTTTTCAAAAAATAAATTCTGTGTGTATTATTTTGTTCCTCAGTGTTCATTCATAACAGTCGTTCGGAGAACGGTCTAAAAACAACAGCTTCAGCGCCGGCTGTGTGTCGGCGAATTTCAGTTGCAACTTTGACTTTCATAGCTGGATTTCCCCAGACAGATTTCGATACAAAGCTAGTTAATTTCTTTTTGAAATTAGTGTTACCTTTTATCCTTAAGGAATTACGGTCAAATTTTCTCATTTCTACTTTACGTTTATTTCAAAAATTGTCACATAAATAAGCTTGATAATTATTTCATTTATTTAGTTTTAGCTTAGTTTTTAGAGTCTTTTTGTTTATAGTTGCAGCTATAGTTTTCCCTCAAAGTTTTTACCCTAATATTAAGAGCAAGTAGACAGATGCCATTCAGAATAACAACGAAAAACGTTTTTGCAATTTACCTGAAGACGGAGAACGGTTGATTCAGCGAAAGAAAAACTCAAAGGCAAGTTTTTGAAAAACATAGAACGTGATTTGTTTACGCGCGGGCAGATGGCAGCATACATGAACTAGAACCGATGACTCAACTGAAGGCAAATGGAAAATAATGTTTTTCTCTTTTGATTATGTTATAAAAGAAATGGTAAACGTTGCAGCTGTGCAACCATGGAGTTATGGATGCACTTGGGAGGTTTGCTAAGCACTCAAGAAGCTAGAGTCGCACTCGGCTATCGCCTCGTGCGACTCTTACGCTTCTTTCGTGCTTAGCAACCTCCCGCGTGCATCCATAACTCCATGGTTGCACGCTGCACGTTTACCATTTCTTAATTGAGAAAAGCCATTTTGCTGCAGACTGGGAGATGACTGAATGAAACTAGGGTTTACCGAATATTCCAAGCATAGTTCGCCTCAATTATTTCGTTTTTTCCCTCGTTCTCCGGCATCGATTCGTCAAGAAATTCCTCTGCTGGTTTACCTGGACCCTCTTGATTGTATTGATCCGAGAATCTTTAAGGTGAGTTGATTTTTAGTGTTTATTTCTCGACATTCCAATATGCAATTTGAAATGGGACTCTTTCGCTTGTCCGTGTCTCGATTGGTCTACTTTTCACAAAACTTTGAAGAAAAATGTTGATCTTCCATTCGCCCCCTCGCCCCCGCTACCTTTTTAGAGTTATTTTCCATTTAAAACTTGTTACGTGCAGATGTAAAATTATGATGCCACGTGTGACACGTTAACCTCACTTCACTCTCACTTCAGTTGGACTGAAGCGCTCGATGTCGATGATCTTACGGAAAAATAGAGGACTGTGAACAGTATACACTTCAGTCGTCCTCACGTGGGGAAACATTCTCACTGTAAATCCAGTAAATCCTCACAAGTCTCACTTGCGTTCTAATATGTTCTTCATTTTAGTTTTTGTAATATTTGAGTGCAGTTTATCGTTTTCTCACGTAGATTAAGCCGTGTGTCCTTGCTCAAGGCGGGGTCCTGAGCTCTGTTTTGGGAGCATTAATTTTGCCACGTTTGATTTCGTACTTATACATCTATAGTGTTTAAGGCTGCAATAATAACATTGAGGTAGTGTGCAAGTACGCCCTGTTTGTTTTCTTGATATTGGTGCTTTTAATTTTGTTTGGGACGTTGGAGGAAATTCCTCTGATCAATAAATTGTTTCTTGTGATTCTTTTCTTTCTAGATTTACAAGCACAGGGCCAAAGATATACTTCCTGAACAAAAGATAACTCATTATTGTGTCTGAGATTTGTTAAACTGTGCTTATTATTACTTTTTATGAAGTAAAACTGTTAAAAAGGAGAATAAAAAGTGTCAGCTTATAAAATTAATGTAGTAAAAGAATCAAAGCAGTTGATGTCCCACATGTATAACTCATAAAGTACATGTGAAACTAAATCATTTGTAGTAGCGAGCAGATTAGGTAGCTTTGAGTTTTTCTATTCTTCCAAATTACTTACACAAAAACTGTCCAATTTAATCAGATCTGTTACTCTCCAGGGTATTTTATATATTTTTGCAGGTTTTTGTACATGTCCCCTTCAACTTCTGGTACATGTAGGCTCCCCTGTTGACAAATAAAATTGGTATCTCGAACTTTGTGTTAACATACAGTAAATTGCAATCTTTGTGATAACACAAATAATTTTTTTCCTGTCCTTTCCTGACCCAGTAAAAGAAGCTATCAGTACATCTGTATATTTTCTGGTGGGACTCTCTTTCCTTAGAGTATGTTTGAGCAGTTACGGTAACAGGCAGTGTTTTTTCCATAACTTGTATTTAGCAGTGAGGGCAACGAGTAGGTCCTGGCTGATCTGAGTATCTGTTATTGCTTTGTATAGATGAACAGGAAGATTTTTAACAATTATTCCTTGAGCCCAAATGGGCTCTGAAACGATAGCCATTGAGGCTGCAGGCTGAATGGGCTATTGACTCAGAGGCCATGAGGGCAAGAGGAATAATTGTTTTAGTAAAATCCAACTATTTGTCAATAATATCAAGACAAAGCAACCTTAGCTAGTTAAAGCTAGACTTTAATCCTTTTTTAGTGGGCTATAACTTATAGCCTAGTAGTAGCTCAACCAATCAGAATGCAGCACTGATAATAGACCACTAGTTGGATTTTACTAAATTATGATAGACTGTGAAGCCAGGGGGTTGTGAGGACTTTAGCCATAGCCTCTCTCTACTAAGCTTTCCCAGTCAGTCATTCCCTCCACTTAGAAGAATGTTCCACCATCCCTGATTATTGAAGGAACTAGTATGGTGTTAAGTGTATTTCTTTGCTCTAGCTGAACTGATTATATTAAGGGGTTATTATAAGTGGTCAACAGGTGCTGTTCTTTGAAGCATCAAAAAAGAATACAGTAAACATCTGCGACTAAGAACCTGCCTTTTGATGAGTTAGCTCCTCGAAACATGTTCTTACATAAATGGTAATGAGCACAAATTTAGGTTCTTAGTGGGTATTTTCCTTATTTAAAGTATGCATACCATTACATATTGCAGTATGATAGGCATAGGCTGTGATAACATGTGTCTCTAAAAAGGATCTCAAATATGTTGACATATCTTATTTGCCCGAGTGTACAGCATTTTAAAACAGATTTTAAAAAATAAGAACCTGTCTTCAAATATAGGCTAAACAGGTTCTTGAATAGAGGGGCCTTGACTGGCAAATTTTAGCCTAACAGATTCTTAAAAACCAGATTATTTAGTGGCAGATTTTTGGATCATATTAGTTATGTGGGCAACCGAGCTCGATACGGGTTCATTGAGCTTGACATGTCGACTGGACTCGATCATGCAATTCATATTTTTACTGTATTAGCTGTTTTGTGCTATTGGTCAGAGACATTTTTCATCTTGAACACTGGGTAAGGGATGAAAACAATGGAAGTCTTGCATGCAGTATAAGTGTTCATAATGTTTCCAGACATGGGTGAAATGACAGTAATTTCTATTGTTCTCCAATTATTAAAGACAATTAGTGATGTTGATCTTCTTGTCAGTCGGAGATGCTTAATGCTGGTTGGTTCTCTCAAAATCTTCATTCAATTAAAGTTATATTTTGTAATTTTACCACAGTCAAAGACTTTGTTTCCACTGTCTATTCCTCCAGCTACTGGATATTATTCTGTGAGGATATTTATGTTAAGTAAATAAAACCACTACACTGGGTCTTTTAAACAAAAATGCTGCTCTTGAATATTTATGATGGGGGAATGAAGTCATGCATGGTTGGGACCGCGATGTAAAAGAAAAAAAAGGAACGTAAAATATGCTGAAATGGAAGTGTGGTCATTATTCAAATATACGGTGATACTGAGAAAGTGAGGGAATCTTATATCTGTATCATTGGAAATGCATGTGATTTACTTTGCTCTTTCCTCTATTGCAGTAGCCCATATCGACAACTCTAAAAGTAATGTATTATTTTTATGAGGAATTTACTCAGGGTTTTCTTACCTCGAATTATAGTTGAAGTACTTAGTAGTCCAGTACAAAAAAACTTACATAATTTCGCCAAAGCTGTGTTGTATGTACCTAGCATTCTGTTCAATAATACAGCTTTATTTATGGCTTCAGTCCTTGAGAAAGTCTTCAAGAATCAAACTATAAGCTTACTTAGCTTGTAAATTTCAAATATGCAATCCAAAGAATGAACTCAAGCGGACCTTCGATCAATTAAAGCTAAGTGATTGATTTCTAATTGTAATCTCTAGGTGTGCATCTGAAAGGGGTACCAAGTCTGATAGAAGGTATACGAATGGAACACTTTCTGTCAAAAATGATATTTAAAAGTAGGGTAAGGGTTTGGACCTTGAAACAGGGCCTCCCCATATAAATCTTTGCTG